CCGAGGGTCTGGGGTGGGTGGGAGCTCTGCTGGTGTCTCTCTGCTCTGCCCCTCTGCCAGACTACTCCTAAATTTTAAGATTTTAATTTCAAAGGATTGTAGAAATTTCCTTCATGAAAGAAATAAAATATGCTGTGATTATGTTTTAAATACAGTCATAAGTGAACCCCAGTTACTAGGTTACCTAACAAGTAAAATCCGTTTTTCCTCTCTCCAAACCCCCCAAAATGAAGGTTTTAGGAAGAGGACAGGACAATGAATCACCAATAAAACATGTTTTGAACTTACAATTTTAAGGAAAGGTAAATAAATGGGATGCGTTTCTAATAGCTGAGCTAATGAATTCACAAGCAGATGTTTTACGTCAAAGCTGCCATTTTCAATTTAATGTGCACACAGGAAAAGAATTGTTTTGACATATCATCAATATTGCCTTCTCATCAAGAGCAACATGACAGAGTGTTTCTGGTAATAGGATTTCCAAAGGGCATTCACCTCCATTAAAATGTTTTTGTTAAATCAGAAAAACTTTAAAAGATTTGAACAGATCTAAACCAAGAGATGGGCTTATAACAGTATTTGGTAAACAAACAAACAAACAAAATAAAACAGCTGTTGAGTAAAGCCATTGATTTTTATTCTGCTGAGAGGGTGACCAGGGACTGGATGTTAAACAAATTGGCTTCTAAACCTTTTTCAAGAGCACATCTAATGGAGACCATTTTGCCTTCACCACAGATGTTACATGGATTCTTGCAGTTGACCGCAGGGTACCCAGGACCCATTTAAACTATGATCACCTGTCACTGTTCACATGGCCTTCTTTCAGGGTTAGTGATCACACGGAAAACAGCTGCTGTCTTGGGAAAGATTATCTGGACAATATGGCCATTATGGTACAAAACTTCCAGAATGGCACCTTGGGTCCACTGTAGGTCCCCACTCTCTGGGGAAACCTCAGCCTGAAGTAGCACCAGCTGGGGAGAGGTGGCCCCTTTTCAAATTCTTGGCAATAGAATGCACATTCATTTCAGTAGCACATGGGACATTCTCCAAGTTTGATCATAGCTTAGGCCACAAAACAGGTGTTCTAATTACACAAATATAAGTCATCCCATGTACCTTCTCAGATGATAGCGGAATAAAACTAGAAATCAACCACAAGAGAAACACTCCAACCTATACAAAGTCATGGAAATCAAATTATCTGCTGCTACCAAATGATTATTAGGTTAAGAATGAAATTAAGATGGAAATAAAAATTCTATCATTTTTGGATAGAATAGTCTATCTATTCCTAATTGTCTGTTAGGTCCCTTTGATGTAGAGTCTCTCCAGGACAGTCCCCTAAGCCATGTTTCTAGTCAGCCATCTTCCCCTCTCCCACTTCATTTCTTAATTCTCTTCTTGGGATAGTTCTACTTCGAAATAGCAACTCTATTTACAAACACACACCTCATTTTGAAAAAGGGAAACAAAACCCGAAAACCTGCCCTTTTCATTGTTGGAAAGAAAGGAAAACTGAGTATCAGTGACTCAAACCAGCCCCAGCCTCAAAATCTTACCAGCAGCTACTGGGTCTCCCTGGCAGCCTCTCTTTTAGGAAGGGCAGCCAATCTGTAGATGTCACTTTTTTTTTTTTTTAAATGATTCCTGCTCTACTGATAAGGTGCTGGGTGCAGTAAAGTCAGTTTCTCAAATCCTAAGAAATGCAAAGGAGAAAGGTGGAGTCCTGCAGGGGCAGACCGCTAGATTTTACTTCCTAGTTGATAGAAACTGGCTTCCATGTAGCTGATTTCAACACGTAAGAGGTGATCAGTGGGCTCAGCAGCAGAAGAGATGGAAGAATTAACTTTCCTTTATTCAACCAACATTTACGGAGCACCTACTAAATGCCAGGTACTGGAGATACAAATGTGAGATACAAATGTGAATTCAAGATCAGGAGACTTTGAACCCCAAGAATCTTTTTCATAACCAATTCAATATAAAGTAAGTAGAAAGTTCTATGAGGGGCAAAAAAGGAGTAGCTCAGTTAGCTTATTGGGTCAGGAGAGATAATAGAAATGAAATTTTAATTAGACTTTGAGAGTTAAGGTTAGGTCATGAAAAAGTATGTTAGCCAATGAAGTTTGGGTATACTGCTTGTGTCCAACGTGGCAGCTTTCAGTAAACTTCCCAGCTGCCTATACCAATAGAAATTCAATAGCAACTTTTGGATGCATGAGTAGAAGTGACAGTTTGGAATCCCTAAATCTACATTAAAAAAAAAAGTTCTCTCCAAAAAGAAAGCTGTAAGAATACATATATAGGGAGAGTTGTAAAAGAAATCACATCTCAGAGAAAACTCCCAGAATTAAAGCTGACACCATTTTTTTTTCCTCCAGAGACACTTTCTCAAAATACAAATCAATTACATAGCTGGAGGCTGAACAGTCCTAATAAATCCTGGCTGGGAGAAAGTGAGAGTTGAGAATATATAACCCACAAATTCTTCTTCCATCATTTATTTGCAGGACAACTCAGGAGTTATTTGGAAATAAAGCTAGGAATTTACAAGTAATCTTACAGTTACAAACTCTTCATGGGGAAGTGCCACATCCTATTCTCCTTGGGTCTCTGGCATTTAGTGCCGGACTTTTTTGTTTTGGCTGGGGCTGAGGTTTGAACCCACCACCTCCAGTATATGGGGCTGGCGCCCTACTCCTTTGAGCCACAGGCGCCGCCCCTTAGTGCAGGACTTTTGAGTGCTCAAGGGGTACTCAGAAAGTATCTGCTAAATTACCCAATGGGCAGCACACCTTAGAATCTGATTTCTTTAAATAGCATGTTGCCCAAGGCAAGTGACATTTTTTTAGTTTTCAAAATTAAGAATGTTTTTGCTTACTTGAAGCCTGTGTTTATATTTCAAAAATTTAGAAATGAAAGATGTGAAGATTATTTTATAAACAAGAACAATATTGCACACAAGCCTAATTATTTTCCTCATTTGTTAAAACAGTCAGCTATAAAGATAAAGTCTAATTCTTAAAAAGGTGAGTTATTTTGCAACGCTAAATTAACTTTTAGAATTTCAGAATAAAGATACACTTGACCACCAGTGAATAGAAAAGTACCCTTTTATTGAGAGGTAAGACAAGTGTATTTACAAGATTCGATTGTTAGATAATATAGTGTGACGATGAGACTTTTTAAAGCAGCGGTATTCTGGGAATTACAGTTTGTAAGGGGGAAAGAAAAACATTCCAAATATGTCTCTGTTACAGAAAATACACTTGAACAAGGACAGAAACACTTAAGGCTAAGTAGGATTAGACCTTTTCCTCCATCTCTATAGAAATAAAGTACAAGTTTTTGTCACAAAGACGGAAGGCTGATTTGGGAAGGGAAGAAACAAACGGATGTATAGTGTTTCCTATCAGAAGACAGTATGTTTAAAAATAGAGCCTCACAAGGTTCTGAATAAGAAATATACAATGCTGCCAAGCAGTCCCAAGCTCACAGTTGATATTAATTGCAGACTCATTTAAAAGTGAAAACTGCTCCAGCCTCTCAATCTTAACTAAGGACTGGGAGGTTATCAAATCCTTTCAAGTCCAACGATGCTTTCTGGAAAAAGGGATCTCTGTTATAGTTCAAAGAACACTTCGATAGAAATTCATGTCTACAAAGGAGTTAAATAGTATAATGTCCCTTACATTAACAGATACTGTTCTTGCTCTAAAAAGGTAGAATTATTGAGCCACTGTAAAATCCAATGGTCAGTCAAAAATATGTATAACAGGGTTCTACAGGGCACCTCATATAAGTCATTCCTCTAGGTATATATATATTTGACACTCTCCAAGTGAGGATATTTACTCTTTTGAAGAACATTAAACACAACACTAGGCTATTATTCCATGAACTATTGAGGTAGGAGTCTCCATTTGTCAATATTATCTCATTTTCACAGGTATCATAAGTCAAATGCAAGTACCAAAAAAGTCAGTAATCCACAAGACTGAACCATTACACTATAGACCAAGTCTTTCCTTCTTTAGATGAGCAAGATTGAATGTTCTCTGCGCATCGAGACTTAGCTTAAAATAACATAAGCTGTGATACAGCTTATTAGACATGTTTGTAAATAAATACCACAAATTTCACTTATAATTTTATGTATTAAAAAGATTTGCAACTATTAGGAAAGAAGCAAACAGTGCATTCATTAGTGGTAAAACAAATAGTACTATGGCTATTGAAATGTGTTCCTCCATCTGCCACAAAAGCTGCCACCTTGGAAAACTAAAAAAGCAACAACTGCTGTTTCCTACTGTCAATCAGCAATGGTAGAAAAAAAAAAGAAACATTATTTTTTTTAGTGTCATTTTTTTAAAAAACGATAGCCAGTTTAATCACAATGAAATAACATTATTTTTCTGATTCATTCAAGATGAAGCGTGAATATGAAGCCCACGTCATGCCTAATGATTCCTGTTATGTTAGGAAAAAGCTGAAAATAAGGGAAAACTCAGAGTAAATGAAGAGCCCTTATAAAATAGTCATAAGTTAAACATTTTGTTACATGTCTTAAACATTACCAAATGTTATTTACTTTAAGTTATGAAAAACAAAAATAAAAACCACTGCTAAAATTTTTTAAAAATGTGAAAAAAAAGAAAAAAAGAAAAAAAAAAAAGGACTCCCAACCCCCTTCAAGCATGGAAAAAAATCCATTTGGTTTGCATCATTTAGTATCTTAAATTAAAGGTTATTAAAGGGGACAAGCTGTGTAACAGACTAGTTCATGGTCAAGAGTGTTCTTTGTAAAATGCTTACACGTTATGAATAATAGATACTTAGCAGGTAACATTCCCAAGAAGTATGAGTATTTCCAGAGTGTGCTGCTGACCAAAAAAGTGCTTAGTCAGCTACAATCTAGGAACAAAAGTTAGTTAAAGAATGACCTTTGTATACTTCAACAATGAATATCTAGTTTAGATTTTCACCTGGCTTTAAAATAGCAAGATCCAGAAGACTGACAAAAGTTTTATTTTAACCATGTTTACAAAAAAAAAAATGTGATTTGTACATCAAAACTGGGTTTTCCTTGGTTTGAATACATTAAAATGACATAATTCAATCCAATCATGCATCACTTTCAGAGACACAGTGCAACTGGAAATATTTTTGCCATTGTAGTAGATATTCTAAAAAGCAATTCCTATGGGTGCTCCTGAGCTTTCAAAATAAAAAGAAAAGAAACAGGCATCACAGTTCTCTAAAGATGGCTGTGTTTCGCACACCTTGTGGAAAAACAATTCAAATAGCCTTCAGAGTTTCAGTCTGCATTGTAACAGGGGTTTCCTCTCCCCTCAGTCTGCTTGCGGACTTCTCAGGTCACTTGACTAGAAGCCTGTTCTCATCGCTTCCTTGCTAATTGCTGTTGATACTTTGTAGGCTACACGTTTTAAACTTCTGTAAAGAACATTACAAGCTATTTCATGTAATTTAATTTTGTGCTGAATATTCTTCAAAAGATTTTATAAATAATACAATATTTTAAACGAGTCTTCAAATTCAATTGTTGTTATACCATATTGTTGCTTTCTCCAACTTTATCTACAAACTGTAAGGAGAAGAAAAACAGAAAATTAAAGAACGCCTATAGCATTATAAAACATTCTATCAACATTTTAACTGTTGATTTGAAAACCCAGCTTTATAAGATTCGTGGAAATTTAAAGTATGACTGACAATGATTAATCCAGTACTACTCACCACCATCTTCTGACACATAAATGTTTACAAAATTCTTTTTCTAGTTGTTTTTGCATGACATGTTATACATATGAATTTAAGGGTGCAACATGAAAAAATGCAACACAATGAATAAAAAAATTGTATAAAATGAAGATAACACTGCTAGCTTAACAACAAAAAAAAAATAAATAAAAAATAAAAACTGAAATGTCAGCCATTCATGCATTAATGAACCCAATAAGATATTTCAACTGACCATTACTGTGGATCTCTTCTGGGCCTATGTAGTCTTTGAACAAACAGATTTAACTCCATTAAGTTCAATAATTAACAACAGTTATTGACTAAAAATACTTTAAATGTGTATTCTGGACTTCAGACTGAAAGTGGCAATGACGTTAAAGCAGATTTAATGGCTGTAAGCATAAATTTATAATTGTTGAATATAAATTTTTACACCTTAGTGGTTAATTACTTTGCTTACTCCTCCCCAAGCATAAAGCCAAATGGCTTTACAATTCCACATGGTGATGAAAAGATTGAAACAAAGTACTGTATATAATTAGGGGAGATGTTAAAAGTTACATAACCCAAGTAGTTATTCTACTATAAAATTCTAGCAATCATAGTACCAACATTTTTGCCTCACTATTCACATTTTTACTTCAGCTTTTATTATAATGAAGCTAATGACAGGAAACAATCTATTTGCATTGAGTGTCCATTTATGCAAATACTGCAGAACCCTTAACGTAAGGACACAGTTAATTACAACTCTGTACCTAGCAAGTTTCAGTAAATTCAAAAGCCATTCTAAGTATAAACAACACTGACTACTGCGTGAGTTTGGAGTAAATGCAAATGAAATCAGAATATACTCCTATAAGCCTAGATTCCAATATTTTATTATAGTATCACAAATAGGGGACAGGAACATTGAATCTGAAAGTTGTTCCGAAAAAATACATGGATTCATTAGAATTTTAAGGTACATTTACATGGGGAGAAAGCACAACATTCTCTCTCCAAAAGGTAACTGAACTATCTAGGTTGTCTTGGCTGTGCTGTAAAGTTCTGACTCTAAAATTAACCAGGGGATGTAAATGGGATTAGGCTTAGAGTAGTACTTATTTTCTGAGGATAAGCCATCCTTTCGCTCCTTGGGAATTCAGTAAATGCTATGGACCTACTCTCCAGAAACATTTATAAAAATCTGCAAACAACTTCAGGAAGCTAATGGACTTTCTGCACCTAATGAGAACTTGTGATCTTTTAAGTTTGCCTTTAAGGCCAACGTATGGTAGGTGTTCAGAACAGACTTGGAATTATGAAAGTGATCAAAAGGATATACATATTTCTGACATGGGTCATATCTACAGTCAAAAGGATTGCTTCCAACTCAGCTGAATTCCAGACTACCCAGATTCTTTTCGAACTTAAGAATTTTGTTTAGTTTTGAAACTTAAGGATGTAGGCTAAAAGAGAGTCACCTGCAGTGTCTTGAAATTGACCAAGTTCCCCAAGATCAAAGAAATACCATCTCTCATTCATTTCTTTCAGCAAAAATGTTTTGAGCTCCATTATATACCATGTATTATGCTAGTCAATAAAGGTACAACAATGACAAAAATACAGTCTGTCTCTGCTCCAAGGAGTGTGGTTTCGGGTGGAATCTTTTCTCTTGACAATTAAAACACAGAGAAGTGCTATGATAAGAGTGTGCAAGGAAATGCTACAGAAGCACAGCCCAGCCAGTTACAGGGAGTCAGGGAAGCTTTTCCTAAGGAGCATTCTGAATTCTGAGCAGCTTTCTGAGCCTCCACTAAGAGATGTTATAATCTTCAAGTGGCAGTTTAGTACCAAACATATGCTGAATATTGAATAAAAGGAAGAAACTTCACTTGTTGATTTTGAAAATGTTCTCTTTAACCTTTATTATCAGATGTGACTCTATTTTGTCAAGGTGGAAATCAAGGCATGCAGTGGAAAACAAATTTGAAAAGACTGTTCAAGTTGTGGACTGATCTGGGGACAGAATCTTATTATCTGACTCCCAGTATAGTATAACAGTGTTTTATTTAACTGCCTTAATCCTCTGCCCTTGGTGATACAGTCTGGGAAAGAAAGTATGCGCAAAATATAATCATTTCCTTTTTTTTAAATATTATTGCTTCTCAAATTAGAGACTATATAAAAGTGAACTGAAAAATGCCTTAAACTCTTAAAGAAAAAGGTTGCCTAGCATATCATTCTGAGACTGTTAAAGAAGGGAATATTAAAAATGGAGACAGTGAAACAAATTTTAGGTTCTTACACGTTTAGCAATGATTACTTTCTAGTATTCATAGTAACTACGACCCATGTGATGTAGCATAGCATAATAAAAAACCTCATCATTACTTAATCATGTATCAATTACTCAAGTTTCTCGAAGTAGAAAGCATCAAAGAGTACGCATTTTAATGGTTTAAAAACATGTTGCTAAATACAGGATCACTTACTGATCTAATTCCTGGTAAATTTAAGAGAGATCCAAGGATTGGCACTCTTCTAATAAAGCCAACCACCACAGGAAAGAAGCCCCTGGGAGAGAGAGAGAGAGGAAAAAAAAAAAAAAAAGAGTTCTTAAAATTTACACATTTCCTATGACCAAAACTAATCACGAACCAAGTAAAAAGAAACTATCCTGTTAAAATTCTCAATGTTTTAGGTTTCTGACTTAGAATTATGAATAACTCCGGATGTAGTCTGAAGTTTTGTGATTGTTGGTAAAAATGTGAGAAGTACACAGTAAGGCCTGGCTCTGTTACACAGTCAGATTATGAATTATCTCAGTTCAATTGCCGACGCCGACGAGTTCTTCAACTACAAGGTGAAACTGATCAAAAGAAAGGGGTTGTCGAGAGCCTATGTGCAGAACTGTGAAAATAATAACAGTTATCATTTACTGAATAAATGCTAAGTGTGAACACATTTAGTTAACACTGAGAGACAACCTGACAGATGGTAATCTTCACAGTATGTCTCATTTTTTGGTAGAAACACAAGTCTACAGAAGTTATACAGCTTCCAGCCATTTAAAAAATCTGGTAGCTCTTAAGAAAGTGCTTCATTGAATTCTGTGGGTTGCTCTGCTAAATTAATTGAACCCAAGAAGGGCTCTGTGGGAACCCAATGAATAGATGGTTGGTTAGAAACAAGGGTCAAACCACCTGCAGCTTGCAAATGACATCATGGGGGTGAGGGGCTGTCTTGTGAGACTGAGCACTCAACTTATATGATCTATGCTATCTAGACAGTGTCAGAACTGAAGTGGAGGACACCTGGCTCATGTCTGCTGCAGGATTTTTTTAAATTTCAGAAGTAGTTTTTAGGTTGATGGTATGTGTACATATTTCTAAGACTATCACAATTGTTGGTATTTTAAAAAATATCACTGCGTGATCTCAAATTCTATTATAGAATTATAAACATCTAGAAAAATAATGCCAGAGTCTTGGCACTATACTTTGCATTAAGAACATCTCAGAACATAACAAAACCCGATATTTATACCATAAACATCTCTAAACTATGAAGCCAAGGCATTATTTCAACTTTATCAATGATGCTAAGACTCCCCATCTTTATTCATCTCAATGATCAGCTTTGGCTTTTAACCTTCATTACTAAAATCCCTATATAAATGAGAAAGCCAAAGATTTTCCTACAGACCTTAAATGGCTTGAGATTTCTTGGGCTTAAGTGCTCCTCTTGCCTCAGTTTTTCTATTTTTTAGTAGAGACGGGGTTGCTTTTGCTCAGGTTGGTCTCAAACTCATGAGCTCAAGCAATCCACCTGCCTAGGCCTCCCAGAGTGTTAGGATTACAGGCGTGAACCACCGTGCCTGGCTTGGCTTGAGTTTTTTGATGCAAGATACACCTGCCATGATGAACTCCTCTTCCTTCCTTTCTTGCCTTTAAGGCTCTAAGATCCTTCCTCCTAGGTCCTCTCCTGTACTATCTCCTAGTCTCTTCTTTCCTCCCATCCACCCTAAAATGTCAACAGTGTTCTAAAATTCCAATCAAGCATTTCTCTATTCTCTGCACTGTATCAACAGCCTCTTGACTGGCTTCTCTGCCTTCAGATTTTCTCTTTATTACACATTTTGACCTGATGTTAGACCAATCTTCCTAAAACACCTAAATGGTTCTACTACTTCTGACTTAAAAATCTTAGTGGCACCCCCTTTCTCTAACACTTCCCTAGCCCAGATTTGGTTATAAGATGAAGTTACACTTTTCTTAAAAAGCCACCAGAGGAAGTTTGTGAACTGGCCCCAAAGTTCTTTTCAGTTTCATCATCAACCATTTCCTTCCATTTACCACTTATTCCTCTTCTATGGGACCTTCCATCTTTCTAGAATAAGCTATATACTTTCATGACACTGTTCAGTTAAGAGTCCTTAACTGTTCAGTTAAGAGTCCTTCCCTTCCTCATTTAAAGGATGAATTCCTACTCATTCTTTAAGGTCCAGTTTATCCCATTTCTTATCTCTCCCTGGATTTGTTAATTCTTTCTACAATTATGCTTCTACCATGTTTCCCTGAAAATAAGACCTACCCAAAAAATAAGCCCTAGCAGGATTTCTATGCATTTGTTATATATAAGTCCTACCCCGATAATAAGACCTAGTGATGGGCGTGGCTATGCAGCGTATCTGCATAGCCATGCCACACATTTCCGCACGGAGAGAAGACATCCCCTGAAAATAAGCCCTAGTGTGTCTTCTTGAGAAAAAATAAATATAAGACAGTGTCTTATTTTCGGGGAAACACAGTATAATATTTTGCATGTACATCTATAATGGCAGTATGAATATATCTTACTGATATCTTTACAGTTTATTTCCCATGTTAGAAATGAGAGACTTCATAAACCAGATTTAACACTTAATTCATTTAAGTCTCCTGTGGGCAATTTAGTGCCGGTCTGTAGAATATGAAGGATATGCGTTTCTCGAAGGAATAATTAAGACCAACCTTTACTCATATGCATACTATCATTCATTTATTTGCTAACTGGCATCTGCAAAATATCGACTGATCAAAATCTCCCATAATGTATTTGATACAGGATGTTCTAATATGTATATGTGCTAAACAAATTGCCATCAATTGGCAGTAACTTTGAAATACAAGGTTCTATATACTAAAATGTTAGATTGATTGATCCATCATTGCTTAGATAAAGATATCAAACATAAAGATAATGCCTTAAAAATGCCAATAAAAAATTTTTATTACATCCACAAGATAATGTATAATGTTACTTAGGCAAACATTATAAACATTTTTATAATTGATTGATCTAAACTGTAATAAAAGATCCAACCTAAACAAAATTTCCTTCTAAGGAAATGATCATTTTCTTCCATGGATGCAAATATCTGGGGTTTCTATAATAATTATCTGAAACGCTGGTTTACTGAAAAAGAAAATGATTGCCTTACCTGAACAAGAGAAAGAATCCATAAATTTCGAAGATCATGCCTATCAAAGGCCAGCCAATAAGGACTACAAACACACCACCCAGAAAAAATCCCGTAGCTTTCATTTTATGTTTTTGAAAGAAGAATCTGAATGTTCTTTCTAAGCCAATTACAAAAGCCAGGCCAGCCACAAATAAAACCTAGAAGAGAAAGAAAATGCAACACAGAAAAAGTAGTTAAATACGCAGCATAAATTTGAAAAGTAAGGTCAAAGCTAAATAAAATAAAAAGAAGAACATGTGTTTGGCTTTAGTGTGGCCGACTGGCCAGAGAGAACTGCAGTGCACAACCAAGAAGCACAACTAAGATGTGGAGTAGACGTTTTCCACTCGTCTCATTCCTCTTCTATCTTGATTAAATGGGGAAAAAGAGAAACAAAAAAAGATTAGACATTACCAAGAGGCAGCTGCATTTGCAGTAGCTTTTCTAGTTTTAGCTGGAGGAGGACGGCTTAGTCAAGCAGATGAGGTGACAAAGCATCAAGAAGAAAGCTGCCAATAAACGTCACCCAAAGGTATTCCCTCCTGGTTCTGAAATGTTCAGCACAGGCTACAGGAGTGTCTGTGGGTGGGAGAAACACTGACATGGCTAACCTGCTGGCAGAAGAAACAATGCAAAGCCAGGAAGATGTGTCTAGTTTTGTTAATTCCAGAATATCTGGTGGTAGCAACAATGAAAGTACAACCATGTGTTCAATCAAATACACATATACAGTAGGACCTCCACAGTGGACCACCTCCTTCATTAAGCTGACCTCCTTTTCACAGAGTGGACATGAACACGTATTTAGCAGTACAGCAGGTCTAGTTCCTTATGCTGACCACCTCGTATGGTGACCAGTTTGTTATGGTCCTGTGGAGGGTCAACTTACAGAGGTTCTACTGTATTTTGAGTGTTTTCTAACCATGGACAAGAAATGGTGATCTATTAAAAGCTTGCTTTTTCCTATGTTTTATTTCCAAATACTTGCCCTTCCCTATCAACTTTCTTTAGTATATTTCTTTCTAACTTTTCTTAATATATATTAAGCCTAATGGTTAAGCTTCACATTTTGGGACACCAATGCTGTTTATATGATCATTTATGAAAACATCAACTGTGTTCAATTTTGCTATCCCTTATCTCTTCTTATTTCCAATGAAAATACATATCTAATGATATGTATTTCAAAGATGTTAAATCATTATTCAGTGACTTTACATCTCTGTAGAAGGGTTATTTCTAGAACTCTTGCATAACTTTCACATAGGGATAGCATACTATACATTCAAAACAAACAATATATACCCCATTCTAAGCGTGTTAACTATTAACTTAGAGATACACTGTATATGTTTAAAAGATTTTTAGAAATCTGTCTATGTCATGCAGCTGAATCAAATGTAAAGTCTCAGATGTTTAACGTTAAAATATTGTAATATATTTTCCAAGAAATGGGACTTTCAAGTGATTTACTTTGAACTCCTATTTAGAGGGAGACTTCATTTAATCTATTAAAAATCACATAACAAACATTTAACAGAGCAGTTATGGAATTAGAAAACCTCATTCATTGTTTACCTTTTATCTAAACAGAAAGTTGACAGGTTTCATTCCTGATGGAAATAGAGAATGTAATAGAAATTACGTATGAGTCATAGCGAATTATTTTCCCCAAATTTAATAGCAGGTAATAATTCATTTGTAGTTAAAGTTTCCTTATGAATTGAGTTAAAATATATATTTAAAAACTCACATTTCCAATAGCCAGTAGTGCTTTGTCAAAAAAGAGAATCATTCCAAAGAACAGGAAAAACACTCCAAATCCTGTTAATCCCATTCCAATTTCTGCAATATAAGTTATATGGTTAAGGGTAGAGAAAAATTAACGTCACATTATCATCTGTGTAAACTAAGTAAGAAAATATTCCAGTTTTTCTTTTGGCTGGTATAAGAAACATTGCAGGTTAACTTCATAATGAATTCATTAAGATTTACAACAAATTAACATCAGCAAGTCACTTCAAAATTTAAAACATGAAGGGAAATTTCTAACCCTTTTACATGAGAGAGCATTTCTGAGACACAGCCATAATAGAAAAAGATAAACCAGGATTCTAAACCTTTGGTTATATACTTTTTCCCCTCCCAAGAACCTCTCTGGCATCAGACAAAAATGTACAGGTTTCCTTTAATCATTTATCTATAAATGTATAGGTTTCCTTTAATCATTTATCTCCTTTTATAGTCTATGATTATTTATATGCGCAGTATCTGCAGTTCCTTCTTATCTTTATTAAAATCAATTCCTTTGTTACTCCATTAGAAATGTTAGGTCAACACCATGTACTTCATTTAATTATACACTATTGAACATTTCTCATAATGGCAATGAGAAATATTTTGAAAATCATGGTAGCAGTCTTCTCAAAAGTTAATTTTCAGGTTAGGGATCACTTTTCCCTTCTTGATAGCTTATTATAGATTTATCATCTAAAAATTCATTTAAACTATGAATCCATTCACATATTTAGAGTCCTAAAATCACCTCCAAAGTTTCAAACAATACTTTTTAAAAATCTAATATTAATATTCAAAAACAAAGAATTTTTGATCAACTACTAGCTGGGAAGAAGTGTTCTAGATATGGAATATATCATGGTGGTCAAATTGCAAGCTTTAAAGTCTATGTCTGTCCTGTATATAAAATTATTAATTTTACTGAACTTACATTCTCTAGGTCTT